TTTATTATTTATTTTATAAATTATTTATTTTAAAAACAATTATATTTTATATTGGTTTATTTTAAAGAAAATTACAAATATTTGTTTTTCTATTTAAAATATTCATCTCAATATATTTTGAGAAAAAGAGAACATGCACAAAATATTTTACATTGCAAAATGTTTTTTTTTTAAAAAATTATCCACTTAAATTAAAAAAATCAAACATTGAAAAAAAAAATATTTTTTAAAAAGCAGATATTAAAAAAAAAAAAAATATTTTGCAAAAAAAAAAAAATTGATGTTAAAATATAATAATATTTAATTCAATAAAATCAAAAACAAAAATTAATAATATAGATTTTTATGAAAGAAAATCAAAATCTTTTTCATGATTGACCAGCCCAATATGAAAAATTCGAAAAAAAATTCAAAAAAAAATATAAATTTTTTTTTTTTTTTTTGTTAAATAATTGGTCAATTATATTATTTGAAAATTTTTTTTTGTAAAGGGCAATTTAATGGGGCGTGTGGATATTGAGCACTCCAGCAACAACACAGACTCATTATGTTGTTTTTTTATTATAGATGAATTGAATTTAAAAAATAAATAAAAACAAGATACAATCCAATAATATTCAATTATTTTTTATTATAATAATAAAATCAAATTTTGGATTTTAAATGTATCTATCTTTAATATTTGGGAATTGCCCAAAAAAATTTTATTTATTTTAAATTTTTTTTTTTTTTTTTTTATTAGATAGTATTTATCAAAATAAATTTTATTATTTAAGTTGTTCAATAAATTGATGAATTCCTTTATTAATCAATAAATTTTTCATATTTTAAATAGGTATAATTTTGGTATTGTATACTTTATTATTTATTATTTAAATTGTTTTTTTTTTTTTTTGGATTTACTAATTTAACATTTTTTTTTTTAAAATTTATTAGTAAAATGGCACGTCGTAATTATGGAAGAAAGGTAGCAAACAAAAAAGTTGAAAAAACTGAGACTACAAATACAGAATTTGTACCAAGAAAGAAGGGTAGACCAAAAAAAGAAAGACCAGATCCCTGTTATGTTTGTAGAACCAGAACCACTCCCGAATGGAGAAATGGGAAAGTTGACATTAATGGTGTTACAATAGAGGTATCTTTGTGTAATGCATGCGGACTCCACAACGCAAAACAAATAAAAAATGGAGAGATTTCAAGAGAGCAGCATAGCATCTACAATCTATTAAATCCTGAAGAAGAAGAAGAAGAAGAAATAGTAGAATATCGTGTGGAAAAAGTAGAAATAGACTATGTCAGCGAAGAAGAAGACGACGACGAATAAACATTAAAAAAATAAATAAATTTTATTTATATTTTTATCCTTTGTTATAATAAACCCATTTTCTACTGTATTTTCCAAGTGATTAGGATTGAGGTATTTTCGGTTTATGCTTCTTTAAAGTTTACTTGTCTTATTTTGTGGATCTCATTTATTGCTTATTTGTGGCATTATCTAAATTTATTTAAGTTTTATTGATTAAAGTTACTACAACATTGTTGATAAATAAAACAAAATTATTCGTAGTTTGGGATTATATAAATATTTGTATAATTTCCTTCCTCATCCATTGCATCAAAAAGATCTATTATTGAAAGTTTTCAATAAAAAGTTGAATTTTATAGTATTCATTTTTAAAAATTATTATATTAATAATAACTATAAAAAAAAATCTTTGAAACAAAAGTAAAAGCTATTTCAAATATGGATTGTGTTTTTGATAAAAAATTATGTTTTTGTAAAGGAGAAAATAGATTTTTATAAAAATAATATTTAATCAAACACTTACATATTGAAAACACTTATAGGCTTTTTTTTTATTGTTATTTAATGAAATTATATTTTACAAGTATAGTTCTATTTTTAACACTTAAAACCCAAGTAAGTTTTAAAGTGGCAATTAAAAGAACTCTATACAATAAATAAAAATAAAAAAAATAAAAAAATAAAAATAAATAAATAAAAAGAAATAATTATAAACAAATAAATAAAAATAAATTTGAATATATTTTAAAATTATTATTATTTTATTTTATTTTATTATTACTATAGTGCTTTATTTTGGAGCTTGTTACTTTTCTAAAAAGGTTTTGAGTTTAATCTTTCGCCCACATTTTTGTTGTTATTATTATTATTATTATTATATTTTCAATTAAAATTTCTATATGTTTTACTATTGTATTCAATACTTTGAGGAGCCAAAAATTTGTGGCCATTATCATAACTGTTTCTATTTTTATCATTATTACTACTACTATTATCGTCTATTTCTGTGCTTACAACAAGTTTATTCTCTCTGATTATTAATTTAAAATTATTATTGCTACTACTAAAATTATTATTGTGTGTAATCTTATTTTTATTGTTATTATTTTGATGTTGCAACTACTTTTTAATTTAAACATTTTTCAGGTATCTATATTAGATTTGAGTGGTGTTCCTCTATAGTATCATTATATTTATGTTCTTGAATGATTGTTTCTGATACCTCTTCAAACCATTTGAATATTTTATATTCATTCTTATTTGCTCAAAGTTGAATGTTTCTTGAAGCAGTGATAAGTAATCTCTTTTTAATTATTTCTATAGAAATAATACCGAATATCTTTGTAATCAATTTACCACGCTCTGTTATATAAGAAATAGTATTTATATTTACCTTTAATGATTCAAAGTTTGAATTATTAAAACTTTACATTTATTTAGCTTGGTAACCAAAGAATTTTCATTTTCTTTTTGGATAAAAGGTTATTTCATCTTATATTTTAGTTACATTATCTAATGCTAATTTAAATTCTTTAATGAGGTTGCATTATTAAAGATATTGTGTTATAAAAAGTATTATTTTTATTATTGTGCATGATTTTTTTTTTTTTTAATTTTTTTTTTTTTTTTGAAATTTTTAATTATTTTTAATTTTTTTATATTTATGTGAAATGGTGAAGATATTTTTCAAATTTTGATTTTATTTTTTTGTTGTGTAATAATAAATTGAGTAATAAAATTTATTTTTGTAAAAAGTTTTTTTGAAAAATTAATGTAAAAAAAAACCATGAATTTAAAGTTTTTTTTAAAAAAATTAATTTTGATTTATATTTTTTTGATCTTTGTTTTTTAAAAATTTTTAAAAAAAAAATATTTACCTCAATATTTTTATATTTTTTTTTAAAAAATTGACACACCTTTTTTTTTTTTCAAAAAACAAACACACAAACAATTTAATAATAGCATAAATAATTTATAATATAATTAAAAATTATAATTTATAATATAATTAAAAATTCAAAAAAAATTTTAAAAAAAATTCAAAAATAAAAAAAATATGGATATCAATAATTCTGAAGAAAATGACTATAGAAATGAAATAGATAGAATCTTTAAAGATAATATCAAAATTCACCCCCAAGATGCCCATGTAAATACTGTTGGAAATATGAGTTCTAGCGATGGAGAAATTTACAGTGATAGTTTTTCAGATGGTAGTGTAAATCACATATATCATAACCAAATGTCAACTTCCAAACTAATTGAAACTCATATAAATAGTGGGTATCAAAGTGCCAATACTGTAAATAATTTATTTCAAAATACTACAAGAAATCCAAATAATAATAATAATGTATACAACAAATTTCAAAAAATAAGAGAAATTGAAGAATAAAATATTTTATCGAAATGGGGGAAATAATAATTAATCAAGCAAATAGATTTTATCAATTTAAAGAAGAACAAAATAATGATTTTTTTGATTCAAATGAAAATGACTATGATAGTTTCCTTATTAAAACCGTAAATAACTTAAAGAGAATACACATACAAGCATTTAAAGAATTTAAAAGTTTATATAACAAGTATTGTGAATATAGAATTGCAGTCGATGGGCGAGAAACCATCCCAAATGACCTAAAACTATTAAAAATTGATATAAATGATGATGAAATTACTCATTTCTATGAAGATATAAAAAAAAAATATAAAGATATTGATGATAATGATACTATAAACAGTGATTCAAGTGTCATAACTACTACAACCACATTAGATAATAATGGATCCAAAATTGATAATAATGATGTAAGTTGTTATATTTCTTTTAATATATAGTTTATAGTCAAAATTAACTCACTAACCCTAATTTTATTTATACCAGCCCCAAAATATTTTGGAACAAAAAAACCAAGCTTTCATTAAAGAAGATGACAGTAGTAATAGTAATACAGAATCACCAACACCAGGGGCACCTTCTGCATTTGATTCAAAGAAACGTGATCTCGACAAATTTAAACAAAATGATGAAGAAGACCCCAGTGCATTTACAGAAAGGGAAACTCATCTTTTAAAAAAATTAAAAAAATCAAGAGAAGAAAAGGAAATTAGAGATGAATTACATAAAATTATAGATTGTCTAAATGAACCATTAACAAAAAGTAAAATAAAAAATAAAAAGAAGATTTCAAAACTTAATGAAATAATACTCAAAAAAGATGAAGAAATCCGAACACTTCAAAATAAGTTTGATGGTATGAGAGAATATATTTCTAAAGTCAAAGAAATTTATTAAAGTGAACAAAATAAAACAAACATGCAAAATTCTAATTTAAAATCAAGAATGGAATGTTATGAGGAAATTAAAAAGGAAAGAGATCATGCTATAAAATCATTAAAAAACGACTATAAATTACTTTTAGAATCATTGGAAAAAGCCAATCAAATTGAATTAAGAAACTCCCAATTAGAAAAAGAAAAGGAAAAACTTCTCTCTTATCATCAAGAAAAAGCATTGGAACACAAAGAATCACTTCAAACTTTACAAGATCCAAACAATGAAATTGGTTCCCAAAATCCTATTTTAAATAAGATTAACGAATTAGAAGATAGTTTCAAAAATTTAAAAGAAGGCATTAATAACAACAATAATAATAATTAATTACAAGTCCACTTAAAGATACCATCCTCAACGCTCCAATTTACAATAAAATATCAGCGTTTAAAACCCAATTTAATAATAACACCATTAATAATAATAACAACACGTTAGTTAACAAACAAATAAATAAATCAATAAATAATAAAAATAAAAATCTATAGTCATTAACAAAATATACTTTGTAGAGTTTTTTATGTTAATAATTTTTTACAATAAAAAAATAAAAATTATTGAGAATACTTTATTTTTTATTATTTCGGTAATAATCTTTTAGAGTAGGTCAGAGTTTAATATTTTATCAATTTCCACAGATGTCGTTGATGGTTCTAATGCTTTATATTTTGTAAGTGGTGCTATTGCTACAAGGGTTTGGTGGATGATTAATCATTTTTTAAATAATCTGGTTTTGTATAAGAATAAAAAGACTCTTTGTCCAATAAAATCCATTTTGCTATTTTTGTGGCATCTTCATCAGTAATTTTAAAAGAAAATTTATTATAAACCATATCTCTAACCACTTCGTTTTCTAATTGTATTTGTCCGTTAACCACATAGTTGGGATATTTAGTACATAATTCTATAAAACATTTGTCTTTTGGCTTCCACAAATATCTAATATTTTTCTTTGATTCATTTATAAGCGATTTAAGTGATTGAATACTCCATGATCCATGAATTTTTTGTCTTTTTTCTATTTTATTTTTTAAATATTCTATTAATGTTATTGGAATTTCATTATTTGTGATGGTCATTAAATTTGATTGGTTATTTCTGTACCAAAATTTGGTGAATTTTTTTATTTCTCTTTTGTCGATCCTAAATTCATCTTCTGGGGTGAGTTCAAAAATTTCTTTTTCATTTGTTTGTTCCTCAATACTTGAATCTTTAAAATTTTCATTTGATAACTCTTTATTCTCATTATTTTCTTTATTATTTTCACCCTCTTCATCCTCTTTACTTTTTTCATCCTCTTCACCCTTTCCACTCTTTTTATCATCTTTATCCTCTTCACTTTTTTCGTCCTTTTCACACTTTTCACACTTTTCACACTCTTCTTCCTCTTCATCCTGTTCACTTTTTTCACCTTTTTCACCCTCTTCACTCTTTTCATCCCTTTCACTCTTTTTATCATCTACATCCTCTTCACCTTTTTTCATCCTTTTCACCCTCTTCATATTCTTCATCCTCTTCACTCATTTCATCATCTTCATTTTTCGATTTGATAGTAGCTATTTCGCTGATGTCTTCTTCTGGTTCTTTAAATTCTTTGGGATTTTTTTTATGTTTTTTATTATTTATTTTTGGTGCAGTTGGATAAATTCTTTTATTATATTCATTTAATTGAAATATACTTTGAAAAAAGGAAAACCTTTCAGATTCTTCCCACATTATTTCATTTTTTTCAAAAAAAGAATTGAATATGCTTTTGTTATTTGCATAAACTGTTTCTGCATTATCATTTTTTTTGGTTTTTAAACTATCCAATAATTGAGTAATATTCATTTTGCGCTATGAATAAAAATATGATATGATTCCAAAATCATATTTTTTTTACCAAAATTTTTTTACCAAAATTTTTTTAATTTTTTTTTTAATTTTTAATTTTTTTTAATTTTTTATTTTTATTTTTATTTTTATTTTTTAATAATAATATCATTTTCATCATATTTATTATTATGTTTTTTGCAGAGAGTTTTAAAATTGAAATTATTTCAATTAAAATAAAATCAATATTAATGCTTTTTAAATAAAAAAATTAATAAAAATTATAACAACACACGAGTTAGTAATAAAAATAAATAAATAAATGTGTTGTTATAATTTTTATTAATTTTTTTTTTTTTTTTTTTTATTTATTTTTTTTTAATTTTTTTTTTATTTTTTTTTTAATTATTTTTTAAAATTTTTTTTTTATTTATTTCCATTAATTGCCTTTTATTAACAACCCATTCTCTAACACTTTATGGGTAAAGTTATACCTGGAAAATCTTCAATGAGGGAAGCAGATTCTAGCCATATAACACCAGAATAATATAACTCAATAATTAGATCCACACTAAAAAAAGAAAATCTCAGAATTGAAGGTAATTAATTAATTTATTTCCAAAATAAATAAATAAATAAATACTAATTAATAATTACCATTAGCATTCAGCATACAACATCTTTTCTTTGTCAAGCTGGTGACTTACCTAACATGTCAAAATATCGTTCTCTTCAATTTCAATCAACCATGTACATAGATAAAAGCTTTGAAAATTATCAACTTATTAAAATCAACACAGAAAAAGAAATTTTAGAACTTAATTCACAGTTCCAGAACCATTTGGATTACAACCAAATAATATATCTCTTTATATTGATTTTAATACAATATTATCACAACTATTACTCAAAAAAATCAATCCAACAACACTTAAATACATCACCAAAATAAACAATTTTCAAACTGATAAATTTGACCAATCGGTCACTATTAATCATCTATCACTAAAATTTAACCCATGCTTAGAAAGATCATTATTCCTCTTCCATAACAAAAACCATATAAACACTAGTTCATCAGAGCTCCCACATCACATAGATATAACAATCCCAAGAAAAGAATTCCAATTATCTCAGAGAATTATTCAACGGAAAAGAAATAAAAATGGCTTTAGATGATGTTTTAAAAACAGCAGGATTAATATCACTTTTAATAATTATTTAAGAGAGGATACAAGTATTAATCATGGGAAAACTTTTCCAGTTTCAGCACAACTGGTAAAATTTGTCGAAATAACAAAAAAACAATATCATCAATCTTGATGATAATTCAAATATGGTTGTTTTAAAGAATGATTTGGCTAATGTAATGTAATGTAAGAAATTCTGAAGGCTATATCAAAGATCCATATTTTAATTCAGATATAAAAAAAGTAAATATCTCTCATGCTCTTGGTTTCTGGTTCGATGGTCACAAAGATATCAATACTCGCTACAACTTAAAAAAATTAAAGTTTTGGATTTGACAAAAGTTGCAACAACAATTGATTTTGAAAATATTGAATTAATTAATAGATTTGATATTTTAAAACAAGTGGATGAAACAATTAAAAAAATTGTAAAAGGAGAAAAAATAATAGCTTCAGAAGTTGTTGAAATGCTATCACGCGATCCAGGAATAATATTAAAAATATCTCAAATAAAACATAGAGTTAATTATTATAAAAATACGATAGTTGAAGAAAAAAAAAATAAACCCCAACCAATGAGAGAATTTCAACCGCCAGCACCTATACAACCATCAGTAATGACTACATTAAATAGTAGAAACCAATTTTATTTGATAGATCACAACACAAATATAAAATCTCAAAAAAAAATTTGTCAGCTTTTCAAAATACTCCCGATGAAAAAATTACCGCACCAATAGGATTAAAATTAGCAAACCCTCAGCCAAAACAAACAAACAATTAAATAAATAGATCTACAAAATTTTATTCAAATAATTTCAAAAAAAAATTTTAAATTATTTGAATAAAATTTTTATTTTTATTTTTACTTTTTATTTTTAATTTTTTTTTTAATTTTTTATATTAATTTTTTATTTTTTTTTTTTATTTTTTTGCAAAAAAAAACAGTAAATTTTGTATGTGTTGTGAAACTCTAATTATAAAATAATTTGAAAAATTTTAATGATAGATAAATTATTAACAATAATAAAACCAAAACAATGTAAAATAACAGATACTTCAAAACATGAAGAAAATCAGCTCAAACTGAACTTAAATTACAAAACGATAAAAGACCAATAAACAAACAAGGCAATGACAAGAACATTTTCAAAATAATGATTCGTTTGGCAATAATAGATTTACCTGATGTAAACATTGAAAACCAAATTACTCACCAGAGTATAGAATCACGAAGAAATTAGACGACATTTCATCAACAACTCTTATGCAATCCCAAAAAACTTAACCCAAGATGAAAGTATATTAACCCATTCACATTCTCAATAACCCAACCACAAAAAATAATTAATATTGGAATACTTGAGGATGTCCATTCACAAGAAATCAGTCAAAGAAGAATCACACAAGGCAATGATAGAATGGATCCTTACCAGTTAAAATAATAAACAAAAATCCATTCCATCAACAACAGAGGCTGCAAGAACAATCAAAACAACCATAAAAAATAGAAAGACTCACAATAATGAAGCTAGCAAATAATAAATCAACAGCAGTAGCAAGATCTCCAGCAATCAAAGAAATACAAGGAGTTTTTTACTGTAGCAAAAGATTTTAATGTTTCAAAAATAATGATTTACGTAGTATTAAATTTAGTACATATATTAGCTTTTACAGGAACCAAAGAAAAGAAACAAAAATTAACAAAATAAAACTTATATCAGAACTATCAATTTAATAGGAATAATACTTAAATAATAATAGAATCAGTAAAAGCTAAAGTGGCAGGTTACTCATCAAATAAAATTAAAAATATCCAAATTAAATTGCAGTGATATGTGGGCCACCATCAAGCTCAGGCAAAATCAAAAACTACCCATAGGAGAACACCCCAAATACCAGGATTCAAAGACATTCTAATTAATGATTTCGATATTATATTTTTATAATTGTATACAAATTTTGGTGAATAAAATAATAAAATAATATGAATGTAATAAATTATAACCAATTGTAAACGATACCAATCAATTATCTAAATAATATTAAATATAAATAAACAATATTTTTTTTCATTTATATTTTATATATTTTATTTTTTTTAAAAATAATATTTTAGGTTTTTATTGTCATATTCATATACTCTTACATATGTATATACACCTATACCTCATATATATCGA